TTTACACACTCTTGTATGTTGCATTTCAAGAGCACATTTTTGATGGATCCCGAAGCGCATCACCAGCTTGACAAAGCTCCGCCCCTTTTCACGCCCTCTCTCAACCATCGGAGGAGCGCTCTCACTAGGTGGTCTAGTACCCGTTTCACATTTCAGTCTCGGGAGAGAAACCTTCTGAGATACAGCGGAATTGATTTTGCTTTATTCTCTTGTCACTACCGAAAACCTGTCATGGGAAATTCTCTTCCTCTGATTTCCTTGAGATTTTTTCAAACTTCGCTATTTACTAATTTTCTTGGATTCTTGCCGTCATATTTAGATTTTTTCAGGAATGATACTACGGCTGTCGCAACAGTTATTATTAATAGCCTGGTCCATTCGCCATTCCCGTAGAAGTGCCTCGAAAGTCGTTTCCCACTGCGATCATTGTCGGTGTGAAGAAAGCTGGCACCAGGGCTCTTCTCGAATTTCTTCGACTTAATCCGAATATTCGAGCTCCAGGACCCGAAGTGCATTTCTTCGACAAGAACTATCATAAAGGACTGGAGTGGTACCGGTAAGTAGCCTAACTATTCAATTGCGTTTCGTTTATTAGATCAATTTGCTTAATTTGAATGTCTCATGAAATATCCTTCATTTTTCATCAGTGTTTTGATTTCAAATAATCCACCTCATATCCCACAAATGCTTCCAATAATTGTGATGATATTATGGTTATGAGGACCATGCGCCACCACTGAAAGGGTCCTGGCTACGCGAAACTGACTTCCTCCGTATGTTGGTCAAAAATTCGTTAATAAATATATATATAAAAGAATATATAACTGCAAAAAACGAAAGTTCTGCCAATCCGATTGGCTAGCTCACAATCCACTTTTTCAAGTGATGACGTTTCTAGAAGCCTGAGCTGAGGTCTATCTGATATATAGCGCTTTCTTGATCGGAAATCGTTAGCCCTTGGAACTCTTTATTTCCGCCTAATACTCTTCAATTCCTATTCCGTACTGGCATACACTGACAAGAGTACTTAACATGTGAATGGGTTCCTTTATATCACATAAACTTCTCGAACGGTGATGTAGTGGCAAGTGGCGTTGATTACCAAGCGCACGATCCGGGGATCAAGTACTGGAGAGTGTGTTGCCACAGTATGATGGCGTCTTCTGCGGCATCTAATAACTGGGGCCAACACACTTGGTTCGTTAGTTGCCAGACGTACGTCTGCGAGCGAACCAAGATGGTGACCAACAACTGAAGCGATCGCCATACGGTCGCCTTATGTCTTATGTTCGTTACTCTTCGATCTATTATATATATTTCTTGTTATAAATTATTACTTGTTTATCTTGTTATTTGTTTATATTTATTTGTTTATTTTGTTTAATTCATCTTATATACTTCCAACTGCTGCTTCGCGTCTGTGGTCACGCAATGAACCTTAGGTTGGCAAACGCGCAATTGTGACCATCAAAAAGAAAGTAGAGGAAAAAAATTCGCGTCATAGGTTTTTCCTTCCTAAGTGACATAAGTCAGAGCCGCAAGTCGTCGAATATTCCGAGTGTTCTTCAAACTGCGACCACGACTCCGAATAGATGTATGATGCGTGGCGCATACTGAAAAGAGAGTGAACAACGCCCTGTGCATTACTTTTTCCCTTAATGTAGCTAGCTCGCTGTTCGAGCTTACTGTGTGTTAAGCACGTGAGCAAGTGAGCAACGTTTTTCCTTGCTGACAGCTCTGTGAGCGAGAAATTGTGCCAGGTTTCCTTGACGGCCATTAAAGCACTTCCGCCCTCCCCTGCTTACATTAGGAGGCATCCCTCCTCAAGTCGAATGTCTGAATTCATTTCAGGTCTCATATTTGGCTGTTTGCCTCAAGGGGAATGGTCAGTCGAAGTCTATTAGCATGGAGACTAATCACATTATGTGTTCCCGGTGGTGCTATAATTATCCCTAAGATGCTAGGCCTAATTGAAGGACACTGCAGCGCATCGTCGTGGCTACTTGCCAACCACTCAATCAACAAACCACACAAACATGTGAATATTCGCGCAACGAAAAACATACGGATGGATTACCGTAACGCGCTTACGGTTCCCGTATTGCGTCATGATACCAGTAGGGATTCATCAAGTACTTGGGCTAAGCCGCCATCTGACTACCAACGATAGCTGTGCCTTTAGTTTGGGATTATCAAATAGATAAGAGATAACGATATCAGAATAGTCTCCAACTCCCCTACTCTTGTGACCTCATCACCCTTGTTCTTATTGAGGGTAGTTCTATGTGCCGTTCAAATATCATAAATAGAACATTTAAAATCGGTCCAAATTTTTACAAAATCGTCGTCTCGTTGACTTAAGGTTCCACCTTTGCGCGGGATAAAAGTTAACACATGTATTGGTTTGTCGGCCAACATTTAGCGATAAAGCTGGAATCTCATGGTCGCTATTGACACCGATACGCATAAAAACTTCGCAAGCATTGCTGGCTTGTGAACAAAACTGCGACTCGAACCGGGACTCGAACCCGCATTCCTCGCTTACGGGCAAGATCGCTACAACGCTCAGCACTTTATAGATGCGAATGCTACAAGCCACGGTAAGTGTATAAAGAAAGCTAAGTTGGGACGGAATGGTTCCTCGGAAGCGTAATTGTAGTGAGCTTGCCCGGTAAGCCAGAGGTGCGGGTTCGAGATCCGTTTGCGGCGAAAATTTTGATCACAAGTCAGCATTCGTGTGAAACGTCTGTGAGGGGAGCTGCTGCCAAAACGCTGTTAATCCATTGCGGACCGCCGTTATAATTGCACCTCCGTAGGTTTTTGTTACCTCTTTTATCCAGTGGCCAATAATCTATCGAAAATTTAACCAGTACGCAAGTACTATGATATATCCTGTGTCTGAAAATGCAAACTGCTGATTTGTAACTTAGCAAAATGCGTTGAAAAAATTGAGGATTACTATCCTTCTGCCGGTTAGCGCATCGGATACAGGCACGCGGTTGAATGGAAATGAGTAAAAATCCGGATAAGGCCTTGAAAAATTGTGCCTTCATTACCATACATTAATTTTTGGTCCTTTTCGAAATTTTTGCGCAGTGTCAAATTTCGTAACATCCTTAGTAATTCCTATTTTGAGTAGCCATAGCAAACATGCCCAGCTTAGGTAAAGGTCACCTCGAGGCCAAAGTGCAAGCCGAGCCAGTTTTTATATTGACATTACTACACTTGTATCTAGTGCGTAACTCGTAGCGCACTTGCCCGTCAAGCAAGAATTGCGGGTTCGAGTCCCGTCTAGGATGAAAGTTTTGTTCACAACCCAGCATACTTGTAAAAAGTTTCTATGTTTTCCCTGACAAAGTGGTACCAGGGTTACGACTAAGTGGCCTTGATGTTGAAGTGACATGCGTCCGAAAGTATGTACGAATTAGAGATCAGATTGTTCCGGCTGTTGTGAAGGGGAAGAGCAGTTTCCCCTCTAAACACTCAACCCAGGAAGGATCTCGCTTTAGCGGACAGGTTCGAAAAGTTCTTGAGCCATCAAAAACAGAAGTTTTAACTACGCCGGAAGTCAATGAAGATTTTCAAGCTCACCATCAGCAGAGCCTTGACGGCAGTCTGGCCTCATAGTACGCTACCATTGAGATAAGAACACCGAAAAGCTGTGCTTACCTTGATCGCTGGTCTCTACAGTAAATGTCAGTATACTATTGGCGAAACCGTCCATCCATACAGGTTTCTCGCTACTTTGGCTTTCAAAACCTAGCGGGCCGCCCTGCCAGGTCCAGGGCTGATTCTTGGCCATCTGTAGCGAATGTAAAACGATCTCCTTGCCCATCATGCACATCACGACGACAATTTCGCACGCTCTTGAACCGAGCATGCATACTTGAGTAAATGAGAAGACTCGTTAAAGGTTATGTGTGCGTGAGAGCTCGCCGATCAATATGAGTGCATGCGTTTACATGGTTGGCTGATTAGTAGATGCAGGGACGGTTTATAGAGGCTATTTCGACTCGTCTAAACGGCTCGTTGAATTCCAGTCAACCATGCAAGGCTCTAGGAAGCAGATCCTCTTCAGCGTTTCCGCAATCCCATTTAAGGTTTAGCCTGGCCTTTGTGTGGTTTCTGGCGCGTTTTTTTAATCCTATAGAGCGGTCGTTGGATTCGTTATGGCGAATCTGAACGCCGAGCTACAGCTGCTACGGCTGATTTGTGGTCTAGTTTTCTTCCAGTGGGTTCTATCCTCCTCTTGCTAGGTACGGGTGCAGTGAAAGTAATTGACCAGTTGTCCCAGGGAGTGTCTGCGTCTTTAACTGTACCTGACCACTAAATGAAATGGATCTCTGCTCACTAAACTTAATAGGGACCGCCCAACCTCCCATAAATTTCTACGAACACAAAAACTCGTACAGAATTAGTGCCATTGATGAGTCTGACTTCGGCTGTCACATCAATCAGACAAGATGATTTCGTTCGGCCTCAACCTTGATAGCGGTCACCAGCAAACGTTGAAATGGCAAGTATTACTGCGTAGGTGAGCAGTAGCTAGTATGAAGTTGCTACAGAAGAAAAATCATTTTTCGTAGCTATGATGCCATAATTTTGGCCAGAACACTTCATTCAGCTTTACGTAGCTTGAGAAATGGATGAATAGGGTGAAGCCTCCAGATTGTACTCATCCAGATTGCGCCATGCATTCTACTTCCACTCAGAATCGCACTAGCATTTGAGTGCGGTGCGTTCTATCCAATAAGCTGCGGAAGCCAGCCGATGTACGAGTCAGTGTTTTCACTTCCTACACAATGTCTTTTACCAAATATGTAGTTCATCCTAGAGGTATAGAAGATTTTGTGAGCCTGAACGATAGTCCATGTCGGGATTGATTCCCGAACCGTGCGAGTGAGAAGTGGCGCCATTTACCACTGCATTACCTCCATCCCATCAGAATCGGCAAACATTCAGAAAGTGTCTATGAGCTCCCAAAAGTGTGAGCCATGTATTCGGCTGATATTCAAATCACCTGTATCACCTGTCGTCCCGTTGATCATCGAATTTGCTCGAGCGGGCGCCAGCAACGTCTCCATTCGTCCCTGTCGCGTGCTAGAGTGGTCCAGTGGATCCTCCTCGCTCGAGGGACACGAAGCCCATTCCTTTCGTTCAGAGCTTTCGTGAAGAAGTCTGACCATCGGGCCGGCGGTCGTCCAGGTGTTGACGTCCCGAGGGATCCAGTCGGTAACCGCTCTGGTCCAACGGTCATCGCAAAATCGCATGACGTGTCCGGCCCACCTTATCTTCGATTCCTTGGCGAAAACGGCAGCGTCCCTGATCTTCGATCGTTGGCGTAGTTCGGAACTCCGGATTCCCCTCTGCACTTGCCTGATCTTCGATCGTTGGCGTAGTTCGAACTCCGGATTCCCCTCTGCACTTGCGTGTATAGGGTCACTCCTAGCATTCGAACAGAATAGCAAATGTAATTGAAAACGAGAGTCCTGTACGCCCTACCCTCTCTGCCTTTCCCCTGTGCAGACGAATGCATGACGAAGCAAGCGAGACGCGCTGACCGTTAGCCTTTGTCCTTTGCCTCAAAGCGCCTAGCCTATCTCGAAATTTTTCATCTATAAGTTCACAACAGACAAATATCTGAGCTAGTCAGTAGAGAGCTGTCTGATCAGATAATATTGCCTCTTATTGATGCGCCATGAACACTCACTTTACCTTTACTTTATTTGTGGAATTCTTATTTAAACAGTAATGTCAGACTTCTGAAATGATAAGTTGGACGTGATTATCAGTCATGATGACATCATTTTGGCTAGGAGTCACACATCTCGTTCCTTTTTCAACTTGCCATTCATTACTAAAACTGCCAATAGCTCTACTATGTCTGTTAACTATTAGTCAACTATTTACCGTATGCCCACCGTAATAAATCACGGCAATTATCCGTGGCATCATAAAATTACTTCATCGGCACGGCAAAGCTGACCCAGCCCGGACGGCTAACAGGCAACTGTCACTACCGGATGAGCGATTATGTTTGTTGTTACGATTGTTGAACTCAGTGCTGTCTGCTGCAGTGATGGATAACTGGTAAAGAACTAGTCCTCAATGAAGCCTAAGCTCCCAGGGGATTCTGCTAAGACCCGATGTTGTTTATGCCCATTTTGTATATCGTAATGAAAGCGACAACGAGATCATGGCAATCACGGCTGGTCATTTGTGGGAGATTAGAGGAGCTGATGAGGCGTTGAGGCCAAAGACGGAGAGACTGGAGACAGAACGGGTGATAATTGGGTGAATGACTAATGCTGGTTTGCAGCTGGTAAACTTCGTATAATAAACAAGTAAATAAAATATTAAATCTACATTGGCTTTTCTTCTAGTGACCCCGAGAATAAAGAAAAAATTCGTTGCTTGTATTTAAAAATGAATGTATGACCCTAAACAGTCTAGGGTGAGCCATGCGTTTTCTTCTAATTAAAATTTTTTGAATGCATTTCATTTAGCCTACACAATTACTTGCTAGAGCGAGTCTCAGAGAAATCCTAGTATTTTTTCTCCCAAAGAAGTGTACTCAACAATCAGAAGTCACTATAGAAGTGCGATGAGTTCACCCTAACGTGTTCGATTGAAGCCTCAGGTTAACCGAATAGTATAATTCACATGGGCATACTCGACTTCCTATATCCTGAGAATTGCCAATTTTTGATGGATTGGCCCTCTAGGGGCTATTTTTCACCCTTCTCTTATTTTGTTCCATAATGATCTCTAGTCTCGTGTTGCCGTGATGGTTTCAGCTCAATTGGCTCAGTAAGCTTGTGTTGTGATAGGACCTGCTCCTTCTCAGTAGCTCATCTACTCAGCACTCATCTAGGCCTGCCAAATGTCCAAAAAGATTTTTCGCTTGAAACTTCGGGAGTGTCTGCTAGAAAGACTTTTCTTGTAAAAACCCTCTTGACAAAACCAGAGCCTGCTGCGAGTTGGAGCATCGTAAGAGGACACTTGGATCTCAGTAATTAGAGACCTTTCAGGTTTGTTGTGCGGTCGCTGCTCCTTCTCATCTCGAATTCTCTCATCTGGTGTGTTATCACCTGTGCTCTATCACGTTATCAGAGTCAATCCAGACATAATTAAGGCCAATCGCCTTCCACCTTCACTGATGCGCTTAGGCTGCTCTACCGATTATGGTCTAGCACGATTGGATCTATATTGTGAGAAGAGATCGCCCTGAAAAGGGCAAAGGCGCTGATTGCAGACGACTGTCAGACTTTTCAACAAATGAGGATTTGCTTGTAAGCCTAGGGTCGAGCATCAATCGTGAATCACCGGTTTTGTATTTGGCTTGCCTTGGTAGTGGCAATGAAGGCTACCAGTATGGTAGAATTTTTCATAACCGTTGCAGATTCACGGGATTTCCCAAAAATTTGGAATTAACAAAATGCCGAATTTTGGTGTGTCCGTTGACTACTCATCACTGTCTAGGCCCGAAACTTGATGGGAAAATGTATTTGTTCAGAGAATCGAGGATTTTTCTAGGTTTCGAGAGACTCAGTCCTAATACCGAACGGATCCTTTCTCAATGACCAAGTATGACCCTTGAATGACCAACTATTTGACAACCTCTGGGGGACTTCATTGAAAATGCTTTGTCCACAATACTGTCAGTCAGCTTTCTCCTTAGCATCAGTTTCGGCTTGGCGGGATAATCTTCCCCGTAGATTTGAAGTTACGACTTCCTAATTGCAATGAAATGGTGCGATGGCTAAAAGGAGCGGTTTCGATAAAGTCAGTGGGCGTCAAGGTTGGAGGGACCTCAGTGGCTGGTCCCGTGACTTCCACCAGACTTCCACCAAATACAGCCGATGACGTCGTCAAAACCACTCCGCTTGCAGCCATCGCATCCAGTAGTGCCTTCAGGTTGATGATCCAGTCTTTAAAGTCTGATTTTCTATTCCTTGTTAACCAAACTTGCCTTCCGGTTCGATTGCCCCTCTTACCTATGGTCGTATTCATAGCGATCATTTTCCTCGTACCGCGTAAAATCATGGAACTAGGGCATTCCGTTAGTACGCTACATCAACGTGTCTAGACGAGAGCCAATGGTGTCACGGAACCTAATAATGTCCACTCCCATAAACGAAGCTGACCTTCGCGGTCACGCGATCACGGTAAACCCAAAAGTCATTTCCTTCAATGCGCCCCTTCTCTCTATCGACTTCCGCAATCTCATAGTGAATGCAGAGTAAGCGTGACTAAGGATCATCGTAATATTTGAACGCACGCTCAGATGTTCGATATTCTTACCAGGCGACTGAGTTTTAACAGCGTGCGATTCCTCCTTTCCTCCCCACTAGCCTAATGGCTCGTGCTCTCAATAATACAGACCGCCCCGCAGGAATTAGAAAATTGCCACACCTAATCTATTCATACTTCGTACTTTCAGCTCTTTTTGTTAAAAATCAGTGGTTCAAATTTCGTTTCAGGGAGAAGATGCCACTAACGAGTGGTAACCAACTGACAATTGAAAAAGGATTCCTGCCGATTCCAAACGGATACGTGCGTTAAATCCGTCGATGAAGATCATAGTCGTTGTAAGAGACCCGGTCATGAGAGCGATTTCGGGTAAGGTTTAGACATAGCGCGTCTTGGAAACACTCTTTATCCTTTCAGTTCAAATTCCAGATTACACACAAGCATCTTCGAAGCGTAAGATGCTCGGGCCGATGCCCTCATTCGAAGACATGGCTGTCGGGGACTGTGCGCCGTGGCTGAAGACAAACTGTTCCTCGAAGGTGGGCGGAGTCAACGTCGGATGGGGAGCGATTCGAATTGGTCTTGTATCACAAGCACATGAAGAGGTAACTTTCCCGGCCTTATAAATCTGACTTTGTGACAAAAATCCCACACGTTCAGATGGCTTGACAATTTTCCCATGGAACAGATTCATATCGTAGATGGCGAACGCCTCGTCAAACAACCAGCGCTGGAGGTCAGCCAGACGGAGCGATTTCTTGGACTAGAGCCAGGTACCTAAAGGACTTCTATTGAAGGGATGACTCTTTCAAAATCTGAAACAATTATTTCGCTTTAGTAGTGACAGCAGAGCATTTCGGCGTGGATCCGGTGAAGAAATTCCCGTGTGTTCGTCGTCCTGACGGCAGCCTTCACTGTCTCGGCAAGACGAAAGGCCGAAGGCATCCGCGTGTGCGACGTGAGGTCCTGCAACGACTACGTCGCTTCTATGAGCCCGAAAATCGGAAGTTTTTCCTCATGATTAATCGGAACCTCGCATGGTAGCCGCTACTCATCCGGCTCCATGCCTAGCGAATTCTAGTCCAATGGCCTTGCTGAGTTGTCGATTACGAGTACTTTGCCTTCCGGTTAAGCTCAATCTCCGTCCTTGCTTCTCTCACATATCTCTAGCAATGATCTCATGTTGTGCTAGCAGTTTCAAGGGTGCATTTACGGTGATTACAAAAGTGTGAATTTTGATTCTACATTTATGTATATGTGTATGTATTAATGGGATTTTGACGTTCATTACAGTGTGGTATAAAGATCTCTTCACTCTCACGTTGTTTTTAAATTGGGTGCTAACTTAGTTGGGGGGGCACGCGGCGGCGCGGCAGTCTGCTCACCTGGGCTCTCTCGAGCGAGACAGTGTAAACTCGAACATTCCAGCTTTTCACGCATGTCAAGTGACTGCCCCCACCCCCCTAGACTGCCTACACTCCCCCTGGCCCACGGATTTCCGAACATGCCAGGCGAGCAGACTGCCGCGCCGCCGCGTGGCCCCCCCCCCCAACTAAGTTAGCACCTTAAAGGAGGATTGCACGGAAAGAACGAAGGTCGAAGAAGGGAGAAATCGCCTAGTGGGGAGAGCGGTGAATCTCTTGAGGGTGCGGACAGACACGCAATCGGCATCGAAAGATTTGACCTCTGAGATCTAGCATGGCTCAAAGTTGGCGAGTTCGGCGATCTCCGCCCACCGATCGTCTGATCACTCGCCGTAGTACAATAGGTGGCGAGTGATTAGATAGCTGAGAGAGCGTAGGGTTGAAGAGGGCAAAGCGATGAGAGTCCCATCAATGCTCAAATCAACGGACAAGGAAGGGGTCCCATTTCTCCGGTTCTGGGCCGTTTTTCGTGGTTTCGCTTTCTTTCTGGTACTACTCACCATCTCTACCTCAATTTGGAATGGGTTGCTTTTCCATCGTAAATTCGTCCTTTAAATGCAATCTGACATGCAATTTCGTTTCAGCATACATTTCCATCTGCTGCTATAGTATTCCGACACTTTCAGGCAAATAGGCCCCAAATATGAGTAGATCACTTGACCAGGAAGGCATCAACTTCCCATGAATTTTAGTACCACTACCGAGCCCCCCCCCCCCCCCCCCCCAGATGCGATCGATGGAGCTTCGAACGCTGATTATAAATATGGGAATTAAAACTGCAAAATGAACACGCCAAGAAAGCTGTGAGCAGTCAAAAGTCATTGGCTAAAGTAAAGCGTTGCATATTGAGCTCGCTGCTGGGCAATCAGGCCTTCAGGAGTCAACGCGGAAGCAGTTTGACGTGCCCACCTCCACCCGCGAATTCCATAACTGTTTCTCCCATGGAAGCCCAGAGACTAGCACGTATTGATATTGATACGTAACGCTTTGCTTTCAGCCAACTTTGACTGCTCACAACTTCCTTGGCAGGTTCATTTTGCAGTTTTAGTTTCCATATTTGTAAACACCGTTTGAAGCTCTATCGATATATCTGGGTCTCATCTCAAAGTTCCATGGGAAGTTGAATGGCCTTTCTGATTCCATAGACCTGACTCCCACGTGTGACCGAGACTCACAAACTAGATGTGTGTAATGACTTGCGAGGTCTCTACAGGAAACCATGACAGGTCTCCTGTATTGGACCGTCTGTAGGCAATTGATCTTCAAGCGATCGGGTGTATGGGTTTGATTACGATAACATCAGTATCAGAGACGGTGAGAAGGCAACCCGTCAGAAATCCAGGTAGAGGTGGTTGGTGGTGCAGGGATGGAGAAGAATCGATGAGAACGGTCTAGAAATCGGAAAAGAGACCCCTTCCTTGCCCATTTCTTTCAGCATTGATGCGACACTCATTATGCTGCAATCTCCTGCAATCTCAATATCACGTTTTTCTACTGAACAAAAAGACTCAGAGGGCGAAAGGTTACCATAAGGGGGACGTGTAGGAGAGTGTGAGAAGGGTTACCATAAGGGGGACGTGTAGGAGCGTGAGCGGCGCGCTGCGGCCCTGTTATTTCCCCTTCTTCCTGTTCCTACCTCATCATGGGATCCTTCTTTGAGACAGATTGTACAAAAGTGGTCATCCATTGTGAATGAAAGAGAAGCCGTTCAGAGGTGGAGCCAAAAAACGAAAATTCAGGGTAACGGCCTAGACCCCACAAAACTGGGCCCTTGTTTTCCCGTTAATCATCAAGGCTAGATCTATCGTTGTTGACGCCACCCAAGTAAGCGCTCTGTTCTGCTTCTTTGCTAAAGCGGGAAGAGTCGCGGCTACAGTATGCGGCCAGGGATAGTCAGGTGGACATGGACAGCAGCGGAGAGAGTTTAGCGCCGCGAATAAGGCCCTGTAATCCGGTAAAGGCGCACCATTGGCAGCGAATTGCGCCCCTGCTTCCTTAGGGAACCTGCCTCACTTCATAATGAATATCGTTCCTCTTCCCTGACCTCAAATTTATCGTATAACCTGTCTTTAAGTCAAAAGGGATCAGTAGAATTACTACTGATTTAGGAGTGCTTTGAAACTAGCTGTGAGTGAAGTAAAACTTCCGCATTCCTTATCTTATTGTTTACGGCATGTCTTTTGAAAACTCGGATGAGACGACTTGTTTGACGAATTGACTTGTTGTTCTCCACTAATGCAAGCTGATAATTTATTGGAATGAGGCTGACGATCAAAGAAATTCCTCGTCTCAACAAAAGTCATAAAGAAACAATCATAGCAATTTAGAAAGCTGTAATGCAAATGTCTGTATCAGAGATAAGCTAATCACGACGCCTTCGTTGATAATGTCATCGCAACGACAGGTACACATCTCGCTTGAGGCAGAATTCGACTCAAACCTGATATCTTCAAAAAGTGCTTCCTATAAATATTGCTTATTGGAGCATTGCCCATTTTCCTTATAGTTTTGGAAATCCATTCGGTAAGGGGGCATTTGGTGTAACGCTTGCTGCCGCCTACAAAAATTCCAATTTTCGCACGTGATGTGTTCCCCGGGGTGCGCAAACCAGTTCGCTTTCGCTTTAAC